ATTATATTTAATCCATGAGTTTATTAGCTAGTATTTTTCTACTCATACACAATTTTGCGAAATGCGCTTTAAAATGTAGGCTGTTAAAGCACGGCCTAATCGGAAATAGGAACAACTGGTTTGTAAACGTTGCTATTTGAATACAACAGTAGATTTTGATATGTAACTATTAGTTAGACAATTTTCGTTTATAATTCTTATGATTACACCCTTTGATTTGAAACGCCAAGCAAATTTCTCATCTGTTGTAGAACTGTGTAAGTTATACATAGATCGACTTTAGTATGAATTGTAATAGAGTAGGCCTACATTGATTAAAATATTCATCGAGTAATCAAATGCTTCTAGGAAAATGTTAAAACAAGTTATCTGCAGGCCTATTCCAGATATTTTAAACAAGTATCGAACATTTATAAAAATAATACATCAGATTAGACCTATGGGATAATACATTATTGATAAGTAAGTTACTCAACACACTTTGATGTAAACGTGTTGATGTGATTGTGTTGTATATTTCAACCTAAAGAAGTGCTTTCTTTTGATCGAGCGAATATCTGTGACATTTTCAATGATGAAACAGTTTTTGTAATAGATGATATTTGTCATATAATGGTATAGTAAAACATAACAATGGAACATTGTAAATTAATAATATATTGACAAGTTCAGTTTCATATTCAGCGAAGATTAACTTTCCACATCGTGGTTAGTTTTGCAAGATGTCAAAATAGAGATTGTAATGCTTACTGTAATGCTCTTTTCTTTATCATTTTTAAAGATATTTAAAATTCTACAACACCGTTTATCTTAAAAAGGTCTTTAAATCGATTTTGTCTCTGTCTAAATTACATTTATTCTTCCTGTATTTATTTAATTAATAGTCGCATACTCTTTTAGCACCTTATGTGATCCGTACCGTAATACGATAAGTTCTTATATTTTGTTAGAATAGGACTATTATTATCATCATATAGAAATATTCGTTAAACTATGCATATTTGGGTAATTTGAAGTTTAGGCCTATGTAGTGCTAACACCCATGTTCGTTTTACAAGCAAGAAGTCTAAAAACTATTTTATATAAATTCAAAGCTGTGTATACTTATTCAATTAAACTAATATACTAATATTACGAATTATTGGTTTTTCTAGACTTACATTAATTAAAGTATGGATGCGAATCGTTCGACTAGGAAAGTGCTTGTAATTCCTGCTAATGATTTTATTCATCGAAAATAATATCATCATCAATTTTTTACAATACGAGATAATACACTTCTTCTTTCACTGGATACTTTTCAATTGAAAAAAAAAGCTAACTAGAGAGGCAATGACATATGAACGCCCCTTCGGACTCATGTCATCTTCATGTATGCCAATAAAATCACGGCGTAATGAACTTCAACCTCACTTGATTTACATAGAGTTCAACATACACGCATAATAGCCCTGAATGAGTATTATTGGAATCGAACTTGTTTGTTCACACCTTTAAACTGATGCTCATCAAATCTCGATGTTATTTTTTTCTAATTTTACACCAGTCACATTAACTACTTGGAAGTTGGTTTCATGTTAGAGATATATTTTCTTGAAGAGGATACACCAATGTATTATAGACTTTGCGGTATATGACAATTTGTGGGTGTATGCTGAATTGAGTAATACATAGTACGGGGTTTGGCATTGACCGCAGTACTGGAGAGTTAAGGGATCATAAATTCTATAAATTTGGTCGTTATGAACTTAGATAGGCGTTCACAAACAGATGCCGACAATTTCCTGAGAAACCCTAGTAAATAACGAGTGGCGATTAAAACCACAGCTCAGCCCAAGTTTCTGCATTGACAGCATGGCGATTGAAGTCCGCTGTGATTCCATAAAGTTACAGTAACTCATTGACGCACAGTTTGCAACGGTTATAAATTCGAATTACCAATGAATGCGATTATTTGATATTATACTTTTGTTATTTTGTGGCTACATAACTAAGATACGATATTCTGGCGTAATCTGATGCAGCAGTTAGGAAGTACTTTTTATGATCAATCTAACATAAACGTAATGGACACTTCACAGTCACAACCGTTTGGGGCAAAAACTTGTAACCTACCATCTCCCTACCAGTCAAGAAACGCTAGCAGTTTCATGCAAGTTGCCGCCGGTTGTGAAAGAAGCGGACCTTACCATGCCTCGTTTCCATACCCGAGGACCGACTGTCGTTTCATGCAATCGTCGAGTGATGAGCATCCGAAAGCGTTCCGTCCTAGCTCTTTACCTTTTAACGCTAGCCTAGAGATGACAAGCTCTAGCCACGAGCGTCCGAGCCCCATGGATATCGGAACACCGTTCAGGTACCCGGGGAGTATGAACGGTGCATCTGCGATGTACAATGGGGGTACGTCACAAGGACAGCATCATGTACCGTACCTTAACTACTCACCGTGTGCAACCTCTGCAAGCTATTTTAACATGACAGGTAAACGCCTTTCGTTCTACCATTGAAATATTTTATCTTATATGATGTTTTCATATTACATGTACGTTTCTGACATTTATTGCTTCATAGCATCATAAGAACGTAAATTGAACAATCGAATATTTTGCTTTCACTAGAATAAAATGTAACAGCAGGCAGATAAAAATTCAATTCGTGTCTTTAGTTCCATTAATAAGGTAGTATTCTGTCTTCTAAAGTTATATTCACAAAACAGCTCAATTTATCCTCTGTAACATCGAATAATATATGTCAAATAATAAAAATGATTCTAATTTCTATTATCTTTGTTTACGTTGAGAAACTCCGAGAACTTTCCCCTATAGTATCGATTTACAGGGCAAGCTGTTGAAAAAAAAAATCAGTTACATAGTCTTCCTAACCAAACAGAATATATAAAACAATACCAAATGTTAATACTACGACATGAAATAATATATTGTCTATAGGCCCATAAATAAATCATAGTATGACGCATAGCACTTAACATAATATAAATATACACAAATAGAAAAAAAAGCCGGCTATGCCTGATACGTGATACGTTAATAACTATAATTACTTGTACATTGTTTCTATCATTTACCTAATTGTTCATATATATATATAGTATAAATGTATAAGAATATAACTGTCAGGTAAGCAGTAAGTTTACATAAAACTGGGCTTGGTTTATTATCGATGATGAAATAATTCTGCAATATAATTATTGTTTATTTTTCTACCAGACATACAATAAGGCCAATTGCATTCCTTCATAATGACCTTAGCTATTCATCAATACATCTCTATATACCGCATGAAATGTATGTATAAAGGTTTATATATATATATATATATATATATATATATATATATATAGGCCTATACATATCTCAAACAACAGCATATTCTTCTGGCCAGGTATTTATAATTTTTCGTATGTAGTATTCATAGTACTTGGTCGTTTTGTTGAATCGGTGAGCAGCAGGCCCAAAGAGACGGCTATCATGAAATTTATGCGCAAAAGATCACGAAGGAGAGAAACGATGGGAAATATTGCTCTGTAGTAGAGTATTTATGATTTTCAAGCACCATCGAATATGTTTTGTTTTCAGTTAAATGGATGATTTCAGCAAGAAGCGTTTAATATGCATCTTAAAAGATATTAAATTTAATAGCGTTATAAATTCACGATGTATATCAATATTACCATTCCCAATATGCTCCGTACGACGAGCTTTGAATACTTCTGCAATTGTTGTACGCCATATAAAACATAAAACCCTATCGTGTGTGACCTAATGAAGGGACTCAGACAAATTCAGCATAGCCGGATAAAGTCCAGAACAATAAATATTGAACCACTAGATATATACATGCTAATTGATGTCTACTTAATTATAATAATTAACGACCTCAGACCTTAAAGTGTTGATTTTCTCAGACATCAGCAATTGCTGGGAACTGTAGATGGGCCGCTAATTTATCTTAATTAAGCTCTTAATTATTTTGGTAGAATAGATATTATTATTATTATTATTATTATTGTTATTATTATTATTATTATTATTGTTGTTATAATAATAATAATAATAATAATAATAATAATAATAATAATTATTATTATTATTATAGAAGAAATATAAGCATAGCCATCTCTCGGCACTCATTACCACTGCGTACCACACGTGACTCTTGCCTTTTGTCTCTGATCTGTATCCATCATCGTTTATCTTTCATTTCACGATGTTTTAATTGGATTTACACATTATTGTAACACTAGATGCAATGCATGTTTCTATCAACAGATTATAACTATTTTCTTGAAGTTACAAGTCTAACTTAATTTTGCAAGTATGATTCCATTAATACAATATGTAATTTTTGATTATGAAACAATACGTTATCAATAGTTACTTTAACTTTAAATGTGCAGAGCTAAATTTAAATACAGTGCCTGTGTTGAGTTAATTATTAGCACTGTAGAACCATATTCAATATTAATAATTGATTATTACCGTGTATACTCGCGTATAAGGCGACCCAGGTATAAGACGACACCCTAGTTTCAGAATATTTTTGGACGATTTTGTATGTCGGACATATAAGACGACCCTCTGTTTCATCATTGGAATTCCTACTTTTTTTCTGCTTTTTATGGTCTTGATACTGCATCTAGCTGGCTAAAAACGGAGCCAAATACAAGGCTAATCTTCCAAATAATACCATCTTATGAGTCTTAAATGTTCATCAAAATCTTATTTACCTGTATAACATTGCGTTCATTCATATTAACATTTAGTAGCTTCATTGCAGTAGTAAATTCTCGTATTACGGACGATCCGCACATAAGACGAACATGATTTTAAAAATATAAAATGTGTATGTCGTGCGTATAATACGACTCCCTGTTTTTCTATAGTAATTTACTATTTTAAGTCTTGCTCTCTACGCAGTACAAACGGTATGTATATGAATTTAGTTCTGTTAAATTCAAAATTAGATTATTTTTTCAAATTAAATAGACCCATAAGTAACGCCTTTCCTATAGTACATGCTCTATTCTTCGGCTGGTAAACAATTTTAGGATTTGTGTACAGTATATTGTACGTGTGAAGATTAGAAACAATTAAATGATTTTTATCTGTTTTAATTGTAGTTGGTCTTTTAAAATTAAAGATTGTTATCCAGGTTTATTTATCAGACGGTGTGTTTACGTGTGCATCTGTTGGCCTAATCCAAATAAAGCCAGAAAAATACAAAAAAATTAAGAAGAACCTTTACCCCAACATGTTGTTTTTGTAGGTTACCAATTGATGTATACGGTTATATAAAGTCAGTATACAATATTATAAATAATTGAGTTTTATTGTATATGAATAGGCCTATATCAACAATGACTTAGAAGGATTGAAGGTCTAATAATACTAAATATTCGTAACAATACGTGAAGACAAAATTGCATATGGCGATCATCACATTTCCGTAGGCCTATAGTTGCAAATGTACGAAGGCTTAAGACTGTATTTCATAGCTATGGCACTTAGTAGGCATGCTTCAGAATCCTCCGATGAAAATACTATGTTTTACTGTTTCCAACTGCAGCAACGGATGATTCAACTTCGAACTTGATTAATGGCGTAGTAATCAAATTATAGCAAGAAAACAAAGTTGTATGTGTTAGTACACACACTAAACAGTGGTAAATTAAATAGCATACAAACTAAAGGGAAAAATATTAGTTTAATATAATTATTGAACTTGAATAAGAATGACATATAGCGCCTTGATGATAACATATGTGATACAATCTGCAAAAATGCTTTAAAATAATTAAAAGAATACATTTTTAAATTAAAATGATCAAATAAGTTATCACTTCAAATAAGGAATTTCAATGTTTTCAGATGTACATGATTTTAATATGATTACCAAAAAGTATTGGTTTATTCTGAAAATATAAGGAAGATATTATGTTTGTGTCTGTTAATTGGCAAGCGGAAATCATATTTTTCGCTATGATGTTTTAAACTGAAGGCTAAGAACTTATATTAAATTATAGAAAGACGATTCAATTGTTGATTTATAGCTCAATATAAACAGCTTATGCATAATAATAATTATTATAATTATATTATATATATATACATTTATATATTTCGCTAAGGTTACATAAAACTGTAACTTTTTTTTCGTTTCATCAGCGTTTTACGCCCTGCTTACTGAATATATTTTCGAATATGAATATATTTTATGAATATTTTTTCGCTATGATTTTTTAAATTGAAGGCTAAGAACTTATTAAATTATAGAAAAGCGATTCAATTGTTGACTTATAGCCCAACATAAACTGCTTATGTATAATAATAATAATAATTATAATTTTATATATATATATATATACATTTATATATTTCGCTAAGGTTACATAAAACTATAACATTTTTTGTTTCATCAGCATTTTACGCCTGCCTACTGAATATACTTTCGAATATAAATATATTTTATGAATATTTTTCCGCTATGATTTTTTAAATTGAAGGCTAAGAACTTATTAAATTATAGAAAAGGGATTAAATTGTTGATTTTATAGCCCAACATAT